AAAAGAAGAGACCTTTTTGCGGTGAAGGAACACTAACTGGTAATCATGTATCGAGGTTATTTATGTGACAATTAAAATAATGGGATACAAAAGAAGAAATACCTGAAGGTTAAATGCTATCATCACAGTCAAAAATAAATATAATTGAGGACAAAAGGACATCGCCCAAGCGATAAATGTGCATCTCAATGTGTCTCTTGCAACATATGTCGAATATTCTATCACAGCTATTCCAGTAAGTATGTCAACCAAAGATATCACGGTCGTAAGCCTGAGTGAAACGCGGTTTACCAGCCTCTTATCGTAAAGCCACATAGCAGCTATTATGGATAATACTATTAAACCACCTGCAACACTTAATACACTCAGATTTACGTTTAAATCTCGGAATATTTTATCCTGCTTCATCATTTCAAGTGATTTTTGAAATAAAGGATTCTCTGGTGGCTCCACATATGGAATGGATGGGTCATCATAAGGATTCGGTGAAATATCCGTTGAATTTTCGGACATCCTAAAAAAAGCAATAATAATAATAATGCTGATAATGATAATAATAGGTGTTTTTTTTTTTATTCCTTTTCTTTCTTTTCGTTTCTTATTGAAAGAATACTCAGTTGTAATTGAAATTGTGATGAAAAGTAACTGCAAAGAAGGAAATGAATCATTGAAGATAGATTTAAAAAAGTAATAGTTGAAAGAAGCGGTTTTCTTAAATGGTTATGTCCAACCGATAATTATGAAATATAAATATTGTACAGTACGTGCATAATAAGTTCTCATTTGCACATAAATTGTAGTAATATTTTTACGATTCCTCTTTCACCCAAATGGAAAGAGTCTAATCATTCTATGAAAATTTCCTTTTGCATAATATAATGTTACAGGAAAAAAAAGCAGTATAAACGTCATTAAACTCAAAAAGCAACATTATTAGAAGGGTAATTCTGGTAACAATGATTTTTAATAATTATGATATCACATGAAGTTGAAATAAATCCGGAGAACAATGTTTTTTAATTCTTTGTAACTCTTATTTGGTTATCTGAGACGCTTCTGAATCCTATGTGTGCATATTCAAAAATGCGTAATGTATAGAATGCATAAATTAAGACGTCCAAAAGAAACGTTTAAGCGCTTAATTGAATATTAAGAAATTGATGACGATCGCTTTATTGCGATCACATACATTGCGTTTGAGTCAAATACATTATATAGTCTATTGCATTTTGTACCTTACAAATTAACTAAATAAAATCATGCAAAAATTGCCTGTGATTCAGCATGTAATTCAGAATATCGTCGTACCTTGTTGATCAAAATCTTTTTGGCAGTGCACGGAAAAAAGTTTTGCTATTTTATTGTATCAGTATTGCGTTTAATTACGTGAAAACTGATTTAGTTTTGACAAGTGAAAGTAATATAACATTCAATTCTCAATTCTTTTTAAAGATATTTATTACGCAAGTTATCAAGCTTTACTTCAAAAGGTATGCTTATTAATGCTTATGTAAAGTTTGGTGCAAAAGTCTTTGGATTTTTATTTTAGCTCATAATTCAATAATCAATTAATGATATAATATAATACTGTATATACTATCTATATACAGTATATTATTTAAAGATTTAAAGATTAAAAAATTTGTTATTATATAATAATATAATAATAAAATTATATTGGGAAATAAAAATTTTTTAACTATTTTTTATAATAATTATAAAAAAATTATTATAAATTATTTTTATATTTTGCCAAGAAATTTATTGAATCATAACTAACAGAATTATATGTAATTTTTTTATTAGCAAAAATATTTTTAATTTTTAATTTTTAATTTAATTTATTCTTTTAACTAGCTAGGCTTGTACTAATTTTAGTAGTATATCCTTAGAAACTTTATAGTATATTATATTGGTCCATTTATACAAAATGTCTTTCTGCTACTAGTTTTATATTTTTATCTTTTTTTTGAAATAAAAATGATATATTACAAATTGATAATAATTGCAAAATATACCTTATCTATCAAAACCTAAAAATAAAATGCTTTTTAATTAACATTTTAAGAAATTATTCTGAAGAAAGTTCATCTTTAGAAGAGCAATAAAAATGATATTGTGTTTACAATAATCTAAGAAACTATATTTAATTCTATTTTAACAATAATGCCTATAAAGAATTCAGTTGTTGAAATATAATAAATAGAGAAAGAAACATTATTTTAATCTAAAAAACATTTCAAACCAACAATAAAAGCTTCAAAATAGCTCATGTAAAAAAAAGTAAAGCCTAAAAATAATAATTATAAAATTAGTAATATATGCTTCTGAATAAATATATATATATATATTGTATATATATATAAACAATGTTATATGTCATTTTAAAAGAAGAATAAAAAAATAAATAATAATCTATTCTTCCAAATAAATAAAAAAAAACCTATTTAACTATATAATACTAGTTTCAAAAATAATATTGAAATACTAAACAGTTATAGAAAAATATTAGAGCTATAATCTAGAACAATAGGGAGAAAAATAATATTAAGTTAATAATAATTATTCATATACTATATATAAATAAATAAAATATATTTATCTGCAACAATTTATTGATTTTAATAATAATGTTATAATATTAATAATTACAATGAAAAAGTTATAATATTGAAAGAAACAAGAGACAAATATTAAAAAAAAAAAGAATTATCAAATAAAAAAAAATAGCAAAAAAACTAATTAAAACTTATTCATAAAATTTAGTAGCTATAGTTAAGAATATTAATATAAACAAGAATTAAAGAAAATCTATAGACAATAAATCAAATATAAAAAGTATAAGCTAGAAAAAAAAAACAGTAATAAGAGTTAAAAACCAATAGTAAAATACTACAACTTATTAAGATCAATAAAAAAAATAGTTCTAATGATTGAAAATATTAAAATATTGTTATAATTATAATTATAATTATATGTTTCTTTCTCCTATAAAAAATCACAAAAAAGATCTATATTTATAAAACAAGATTATAAAAAAGGCTTCAATATAAAAAAGAAAAAGAAGATAAAAATGATTAAAGAAAAAATCAATTATTCAAAAATAAAACAGACATAATACAATAAAAACTTATATTACTTTTCAAAGATAATAGTTTAAAAATAAATACTGAAATACTGTTATAATTATGATTACAATTATAATTACAATTATATGTTTTATTTACTTATAAAAAATAATAAACATTATATTTTTATTGTAATAATAATATTGAAAAAAAATAAGAGAGACATGATAAAAAAAATATATAATAGTTTCAACTTTAATAATAAAATATAACTAAAGATTCTAAGTTCTATAATATATTTTTTTCAATTGAAAGAAATATTGTAATAATTAAAAAATATTTAAAAAAATATTAATAAACTAGAAAAAAAAATATATATTTAAAAAACATAAGTTAATAAAAAAGTAATTACAAAAAAAGAAAAATAAGATAAAAATAAAAAAAACATTATCAGATAAAAAAAATCACAAAAATTTAAATATAAAAAATATTTATCTTATCACAAAATTAGTAATAAGCTCAATACTAAATCATATTTCAATAATTGAAATTTACTAAACAGTTAGTATAATAAAATATTTTTTTTTTTTTAATTCAACTAGCTAGGCCTTGCCAGTATAATAAAATATATTATTAATACAGTTTAAATATTAATTAGAGATTATAAACAATAAAATATATTACAATAAAAAACTATATAACTTATATAAAAAGAAAAAAATTAAAATTTATTTACTAGTAGAATTTCAATAGTTCTGGTGACAAGAATATCATAATGTTATAAAAAAATATTCAAAAATAATAAAAGAATATTAGATCAAAAAAGCTATAAGAATTAAAGAAAAGCAAATCCAATTTAAAATCTGTAAGATTTAAAATAAGAACTGTGAAAATTTATTTTATAATAGTTTCAAATATTAAATATCAAAATGTTATTATAATCATAATTACAATTATATATTTTTTTTTCTTAATAATGATAATATTACTATTATCATCATAATAAAAAAAATAATAATAATAAAAAGAGCCTATGGAAAAGCTTATTGTTACAAAACCAATCAATTTTTTCTTACAATACTATATCAAGTCTTACAAAAAAATAATGAATCTATAATCTTTATTAATCATTGTAATTAATTAATATTATTAAAAAAAAAATAAAAAAACAAGACATAATTAACATATACTTTAATATTATAAAATTTTATTAACATATATGTACCTACTTGTTCTAATCTTGTCCTAATATGAAATTATATTTTATTATATATATCCTCTTGTTTCATTATAATCAAATTATATTATATTATTAAAATTTTATATAAAAAAAACAAATAAAAAACAAAAACAAAATTAATAATTATCTTACTCTTTTTAGTACTTTTATCTTTTTTATAATTTCTTTATTATTTCTTTATTATTTTTTTAACTATTTATACCTTATTAGCATTTAATAACATATACAGTATATCATTTTATTTTTTTATTTTTTTATAATTTAAAAAAATATATTATTTGCTTAAGTAATTTTATAAAACCATATAAATAATTGTAAACAACTTTAATCCTTAAAAATATAGGAATTTAAAATATATTAATTTTAATTTGATTAATTATATAGTATTAAATACAAAATAATGTTTGTAACTATAATATTTTATAAATTATCTAAATAATTAATATTATTTTTTCAATTTATTTTATACAAATAATATATTTATTTTTATTTATTTATATAAATATTTTTTTATTTTTATTTTATTTATAATTTTTATATCCTTTACAACTTATCAAAAATATATTAATAATATCAATATACTTTTATAACATCTATTAGAATAATGATTATTTTTTAACAACTATTTTATATACTGATCCAGTGGACATTGAGATTGTGATTTTCTCATTAAGATATAATAGTGTAACGATTGTTTGGATGGTACTATAATGATTGTCTATAAAAGGAGCCATAGAACTATTCACACATTTGAAAGTACAAACTGGGCTATACTTTATCTCAACCAATCCCAGTTTGCCATTCCTTTTCCTGTTAACTGTCGAATAAGAAAGCTTTGAAGAAAAGTATTGAATTGATATTAATATTTTGTGTGATATGGTTCTTCCTGGATAGTTTAAGTATATAGAAGTTGTATTCTACTTGATATTTATATTCCTAAATTTGACAGCCTAAGTCAATTGATTTCAAAACTGAAGTGTTTACTAGGAAATTAAGAAACTTGAAAACTTGCTTAGCATAGCCTGTATAATTCTTAAGAAGTTATATATCACTTGGCTATAAGAGCCCCTAAATTTAATAGCTTAAAGCCAACCAATAGTCAAAAATTAAAGCATTTATTAGAGAGTACATATCTCATGTTGTGGCTCCTCTGCCATATAAAATGTAAGTGAAAAGGTATGATGTGATAAGTAACTTAAGAAATA